TTTCCCAGTGACCCAAAGAGTCATCATTGTGAGGGTCTTTCTGAGTTCCGCATCGTGCACTTGTATATGTGGATGAGTTTACATATGTTTATATATTTTTTCCAGCCTACGTAATATGGTTATGCAACGTTTGAGGCAGTTAGGCTTGAGGAGGGCATTCTTAGGTGATTTGTTACTCAGTAATACAGCTATGTTGAGGCATTGTGGAATTTTACTTATTCTCTCCTAATAGAGGCCCAGAGCCAAATTCACATCTGTGTACTACTGTTCAATACATTTCTTTCTTTCTTTTTTTTAAGATTTTATTTATTCATTTGAGAGAGAGACAGAGAGAACACAAGCAGGAGTAGAGACAGAGGGAGAGGGAACTCTAGGGGGAGAGGGAGAAGGAGGCTTCCCGCCGAGCAGGGAGCCCGATGCGGGGCTTGATCCCAGGACCCCGGGACCCGGTACCGTGACCTGAGCCGAAGGCAGACGCTTAACGACTGAGCCACCCAGGCACCCCTGTACAATACATTTCTTAACTGGCTTTTAAAGAAAATCTAGCTAGAGTTGCATCTGATTTGCATCACATTTTCTACCCTGGTATTTGAATGCTTTGGCTCAGTAGAAGTAATGGTAGTAGCTGCAGAAGCCAACATCAATGCTCTGAAAACTTTCAGTTCACCTAGGCTTCCCTTTGTAGTCCATGGGCCCCCATCATGGTACGATGATTAGGTTTTAATTGTCCACAACAATTTACTGCTGGATGAATGGGGATTCATAAAGGTTAAGTGACTTGTCCAAGCAGCGGGAACTGGGACCGAAGCCAGATATTCTAGCTCCGTTCCTAGCAAGGGATAGGTCATTGTCATTCCTTCATTCATATGTTCATTCATTCATTCACTCATATGTTCACCAAAAATATTTATAAAGCTCCTATGATCTACCAGGTGTTCTTTTACCTGTTGGAGGTATATCAATAAACAAAACTGACAAGAATCCCTGCCCACGTGGAGCTTACATTTCAGGAGGTAGAGGGGAGACCATGGTAGATGACAAAAAAGTAAGTTCCGTAGTATATTGGGAGGTGATAATGTATAGTTAGAAAAAAATAGAGCAGGTGGGGGAATTGGGAGTACCAGTTTTTATATACTTTGGGAGGCAGAAACAAATTAATTTTTCTACTTTTATCTGATATATCAAAATGACAGATTTTGTTCTAAACCTTTCAACGTATATTGCTTGGAACAATGTTCTGCTCCTTGCCCCCCTCCCCACTACCCCAAGAAGCAGTGCTGTGAAGGATGGCTAAATCGCAAGATCAGCTTACAGAATATATTCAATTCATTATGTATTTTAGCTGTAGTTAAAATCTAATGGTATTGTCGGCCTAACCAGTCCCTACAGTGGTTTCTTTTCTTCCTCTGGTAAAATGCATTCCAGGCTCCAGGGTTGGGGGTGTCAGGAGCCTCATCATATCATGTGACTCTTCAAGCTTTGGATTAAGCAACTCTCCATCCTTCTACTTTGTCCAGTATTGTGCAGCAGGGGCTTCCCTCATTCAAGCTCTTGATGGTGCCTGCTCCGTTGCCAGAGTCTAGGCCATTGTTTTGGGAGGTGATGGATTTAAGGGAGGAAGGGATCAGTAGCCTAGGTTCTCTTCTTACAGGAGGTGGGAAATTGACAATTGGAATGAATTGCAAGGGGGTGTCAGCTGGGATCAGTGGAGGAAAGGGGAGTCCCTGGTTTCACAGGGGGGCCAGTGAGTTACTGGGATGTTTGTGAGTCAGCGGTGGCCTTTCGTCTCCTAGGGTGTAGGTTTGTGTTGATAAATTCTGGAGATGGATTTACCTATGCTTTCTCACCTGATTTTCATAGAACCTGAAATCATGGCCAACTCCTCAGTTTGGCTTTTTCCATATAAGCAACTGGAAGTTGTTTTTTTTTATTTAAATATTTGATGGAAAAAAATATTTGATGGATGTAACTTTTATGTATTAGTTTAACAGTATCCCAACAAAGAGAATTGAAAATTTAAAAACCTGATGATTATTTTATAACCCTGATGTTCCTTCTTACTACTTTATTTTTATACTGTTTATTATTGTGATTTTCTTCATAAATATTGTCCTGGAAATATTGTTGCATAACTTCAAAATTTACCACTTTTAATAGCCATGTAATACTGTATTCATGAATAGGTATTTGAATGTTTACCTGTTCCGCATGTACTTTACCAGAAAATAGGGCTTGCCGAAAGAAATGCATTATGCTTTCAATTAGCTTGCTGCCTCTTTCATAAAACAATATATATACATGGAACATAATAAGATAAGGTGAAGTCTGACTGTCCAAAGGTGTTTATAATTTGGAAAAAGAAGGGATTTGTGGGCTAATGTGATAGGAAGCTTCATGGAAAATGTAGAAGACTTTGTGGAGACAGAGATCTAGAATTTAATTAGTTCTTGCCAGTTCCAGCGCTGCCGCTTCATCCAGACCATCATCACGCCCTCCTCCTTCCGTGTTACCCTGGCAGTCTATTCTCTAGAGAGCTGCCAGAGTAACAGTAATTCAGGTTAAATGACTCCTCTGCCCCGAACCCTCCCGTGGTTTCTCAGGTCACTCATAATAAAACCTGAAGTCTTTAACAATAGTCTACAAGGCTCTGCATGGTCTGGCTCATGCCTTCCACTGTAATGGCATTTCCAACTTGAATGCTCTTCAGTACTCCTCTCTCTTCACACCGGCCTCACTGCTGTTCCTCACACACTCCAAACGGACTCCCTCGTCACAATCTCCGTAATCGCTCTTTCCTCCGCCTTGAAAATATGTCTCAGCTATTTCCCTGGCTTACTCTCATTTCCTTCAGATCTCTGCTCAAATTTCACCTCCTTACAGAGAGACCTTCCCTGAAAAACCAGAAGTGTTTTTCTGAGCACATCCTGTCACTCCCCAGCTCCTTTCCTTTATTTCTCTCCATAGCATTTTTTCCACCTGACATATTTATGTATCTCTTTGTTATTAGCTAATGGAAAGTAAGCTCCATGAGGTCAAGCAAGGATTTTGTTTTATTCCCCACTGTATGTCCTCTTCTAAAATAGTTCCTGGAATATAGGCAAGGCTTACTAAATATTCGTTGGATAAATAAATGAATTAAAAAATATCATAAACATTTTTTCTCTACATAGATTTGTTTATGTAGAATTGAAAGAAGGTCTAGTGATGATAATCAGCAGCAATATTTTCAGTGAACATCTAGGATTGAACTGGATGTTTGTTTTAGAGTGCATCTTTTTTCTTTTTTTTTAGTTTCATGGGTAGAATTTAGTGATTTCATCTGTTGCATACAACACCCAGTGCTCATTCCATCAAGTGCTCTCCTTAATGCCCATCACCCAGCTATCCCTTCCTCCCACCCCCCCCTCCCCTCCAGCAACCCTCAGTTTGTTTCCTATAGTTAAGAGTCTCTTATGGTTTGTCTCCTTCTCTGATTTCGTTTTGTTTTATTTTTCCCTCCCTTCCCCTATGCTCCTGTTTTGTTTCTTAAATTCCACATATGAGTGACATCATATGATAGTTGTCTTTTTCTGACTGACTTATTTCACTTAGCATAATACACTCTAGTTCTGTCCGCGTTGTTGCAAATGGCAAGATTTCATTCTTTTGAGGGCTGAGTAATAGTCCATTCTGTGTGTGTGTGTGTGTATCACATCTTTATCCATTCATCTGTCGATGGACATCTGTGCTCTTCCCATAGTTTGGCTATTGTGGACATTGCTGCTATAAATACTGGGGTGCATGTGCCCCTTCAAATCATTATGTTTGTATCCTTCGGATAAATACCTAGTTGAACTGGGTGTATTAAAGCTCCCCTCCTGCCTCCTTTTCCCTCCCATGCACACCCAGTGCCTTCGGGATCAAACCCAAGCTCCTTAGTCGGGCATTCAAAGCCTTCCAAGGTCTCATCTGTGTTGACCTTTCCAGCTCCACTTCTCTGCCAAGCCCTCACCTTCACGGCTCATGCTGCAGTCCTAAGGAGTGGCTTATGATTCCCCTTATGTGCCCCTTGCAGATGTCTCTTGCAGCATCTCTCACATTTTGCTGCTTGTTTTTAATGGGTGTCTCCTCAGCGCATAAGCTCTTCAAAGTAGGGGACCTGGCATATTTTCATATTTCCAGGACTTGGCAGAGTTCCTGGCAGATCATAGATGGTCAGAAAATACTCACTGAATGCCAAAGATGGTTTTGCCTCCAAGACAGAGACTAGTGGGAACTTGAAGAGGTTGGATATGGAACAAATAAATTGATGAAAGCAGTTTCATCTCATTAGAGGGCTTGGATTGCGGGTGTGTCCGGGGACAAATGGGGTTGAAGAGAGCATAATATTAGAAAACTGTAATTTTTAGCACAGTATTAGAATACTCTAAATCTGTTGGAATACTCTAGTTTGATGAGGAGAGAAGGCATATAACATGATTGAATCAGTACACTCAGCTAGAAAAAACAGCTTATATGAGAGGAAGGGTTATTTGACATGTGTTGTTTGGAAACAAGTGCAACCATCTGGCAGGGGTCTGACTGCAGACCTATCAGCCCTATTATTCAGCCTGTGAGAATCATGCCACATAGTGACCCTGCTCATCCTGCGGACATAGTATGAGGGGGAGAATTCAGGGCAGTAGTGGTGCGTTCATGTCCTTGCTCATGACTGTGGAGGGTTAGGTTAGACTCAACCTGATCTCAGTTCAGTGGGAAAGAAGGCTGTGAAAATCAGGTTACATCTGGCAAGGGTGTGAGGGAGGGAAATGGCTGTATTTGTTTTATATGTTTGTCGTCCCTAGTTGATGGTTGGTATTATCTGTGCTGATTCAGTGGATCTATAATCAGTTGGCCTGGCATAGTTGAATATGTGGACATGTTTTATATAATTTTAATAATACGTATTTTGAAAAATGTAAACATAGTAGAGTCAAGGAGGCTATTGGTTTTAAAAGATTAAAACCTTTTTTTCTAAATAGGTTTGTTACAGAAAGAGAAAATGGCTATTGAAGCATTTCAGATTTGCTGCCTCCTCCTGCCACCTGAAAATAGGAGAAAGCTACAGCTCTTGATGAGGATGATGGCAAGGATATGCCTAAATAAGGAGATGCCACCACTGTGTGATGGCTTTGGGACCCGAACACTGGTAGGTTGATCTCTAACATCTAACTTGACTTGAGTTTTTGGCATACAATTCACCTGAGTAAAGTTTACTAGCTTGGCAACCCAAGGAAGGCGCCAAGTCAGGCTTGCTCAAAGAGCCACGGCTTGGAAACTGCACAGGTGGGATTACACTTCCGGTATTGATGTGTTAAAGAACATAATCGAAAGCGAAGAGTGAGTAGGGATAGAGTCTGAGTGTAGAGGTATCTGCGGTCTTCTGCCTACTGTCAACTTAAAGAGAAGAGAGGGTGGACAATACGCATAAGGGTTCTCTCAAGAAAAGGACATACTTTCCTCTAGGACAGGAAGGGATGCGAAGCATTTGTTACTCTAACAAGTAGGAGAGGGAAAGCACAGATAATGGGGTAAAGAGGAAAGAAGTAAAGAGGAAAGAGTTGGACTAGACAGCCTGGGGGGAGACAGAGAATTTGTTCTCTTGGGATATGATCTAAGAGTCTGTGAGTGAGGATATTTCTTAAGTATTTTCAATTTGGTTTAAAAACATACATGCTAGTTTTGAATTCTACTTTGTTGGTGTCAGCATGTCTTTATTTTAAAATAGGGTTTATGTTTAGAATTTCTTCTACATGATTTCTTAATTTTCCTCAAAATTGGCGGTCTTGGAGCAAAATTGTTGCTTCATTGGTGAACCTTTCCATATCCTGGTGAACCACGGTATACCCCTGAGGGTCCTCTGGCCCTGTTTTAGAAGTGTGTAGTAAGAGTAGAGGATCACTCAGTGCCCAGTAGAGTGATTCTTGACCTTCCTTTTGGTTGAGTAGATGGCTAATGGGGCTAAGGGACCCTTCTGAAAAACTGAAGAAAACTTTGCACCTATTCCCCAGAAGAATGCACATGTAAAATTTTGCATAGAATTTCAAGGCATTAAGTTTCCCCAGCGTCCATGGTCTCCAGGTAAAAAATGTCTGTGTCTCTGTACACATAAATGTGAGTGCAGGTAAGATATCATTTGCAGTATGTTGATGATGACATGAAGTCTAATTAAACAATTACGTGATTTCATGCTTATAGGTTTTGAAATAAGATTGTCAGCAATAAAATTAGTAGGAAAAGGAAAAAAACTCCATCCAAATCATAGTTAATATGAATTCTATGGAAGCAGCTACATAAATATTTTTTATATTTCTGCTTATTGTAAAGTCTCATCACTTAATGCACTTGTTACAAAGTCTCATCGTTTTGTTCAAATGTGATTATCAGATATACACCCAAAATCCTAGAGAAAGTAACAGTTAACTAGGAAAAAGTGTAACAGCTGAAGCACATAGATTGTGCTAGCAGATTTCTTAAAAATCAAAATGAAATAAGGATATTAGTAAACTGAATGGCTTTAAATTACTTTGAACTTAAAAGTGCTACATGATTCAAGTAATGGTGGTGATCATAATTTTCAGAATTTGCTTATATATATTTAAAACTGTCTGTAAAGGGGTGTGCTTTAAAAACTGCTCAGACAAGCATCTCTGCTGAGTGTCTGTGAGATGAGATGCACCTTCTGTTCCTGCTGGTTGTTAAGAAGATCAGCCCATTGAGACGACCAGGTGTGGCCAGGCACCAAATAGGATGTGTCCCCTGGGCTGTGGGCCATTTCTCACTGACTGGTCACCTTTGGTTTTTGCAGATTTATTGAATGCAGTATAGCATAGGAAAAAAAAAAAAACCCTCATCTGTGTTTATTTAAAAAACACCTCCCCCTCTTTTTTCAGATGGTTCAGACATTTTCCCGTTGCATCTTGTGTTCCAAGGATGAAGTAGATTTGGATGAGTTATTAGCTGCTAGGTTGGTGACATTTCTGATGGACAATTACCAAGAGATTCTGAAAGTCCCTTTGGCCTTGCAGACCTCCATAGAGGAGCGTGTGGCTCATCTACGAAGAGTCCAGGTAAAGGAAGGGATGTTAACAGTCCTTTAAAATTGCCAGCAGGAAGTTACGTAAACTTGCTAGGCTTCTTGGGATTTCTAGATGTGAAGGATTGAGTGAATAAATGTATACAAAATGCTTCCAACAGGGCTTGGTACATGGTAAGCACTATGTGTGTTTGGTAATTTTGAAAATTTATGGAATGCTCACCTGGTTTGGTTATGTCAGTCAGTGCTGCATACTTCTGATTGCAAATTCCTTCAACGATAACCTGCCTTTATTTTAGTTTCCAAATGAGTTAAAATGGGCCTTCCCTGCCCTATAAAACTGTTGTGAAGAGTAGAATACTCTACTATAAAACCCCTAGCTTAAATGTCTGACATACAGCAGGTACTCTTTGAAAGGTAGCTATTGTTATTGTTGTTATTGTTATATTAAAATGATGCAAAAGAAATGTAATGCATGACTGTTATGTGGGCCCCAAAGCGGGGTGTGTATGTCAGCCTGATCGGGAGCAGGCACTTGGTAAAGGCAGACAGAGGTCTACTTGGCTCCTGAATGAGCGGCCCTCTTTCTGCTTAAGCACTTTTTGATGTTCCATAATTAAGGTCCGGTGAACTGCTACCTCCTGAAGGATTATGAAAGTCAATAACTCTTCATGTTTTCAGTGTGCAATTTAAAAATTAAAATAGGGGCACCTGGGTGGCTCTGTCGGTTGAGTGTTTGACTCTTAATTTCGGCTCAGGTCATGATCTTAAGCTTGTGGGATTGAGCCCCCCTCCACCTCGAGCTCCGCGCTCAGCTGGGAGTCTGCTTCTCTCCTTCTCCCTCTCCTGACCCCCACCGCCACACTGTATGTGTGTGTGTGTGTGTCTAAAATAAATAAATCTTAAAAAATTATTAAAAATTAAAATAAAATAGTTTTGGTAATTATCAACCTTAAATATGTTGAAAGAATTGGAAAATACAGAAAATGCACACCAAAAACTATAAGAGTAACATCCAATGTTCAGTTAGTATTATGGTCTTTTGGGTGTTTTTCTGTGCCTTGTCTTCTCTTTTTGCCTTTTCTTTTTTTTTTTTTTTCTTTTTCTTTTCTCTTCTCTTCTCCTCTCTTCTCTTCTCTTCTCTCTCTTCTCTTTTCTCTTCCTCTCTTCTCTTTGCTTTTCCTTCCTTCGTTTTCCTTCTTTCCTTCCTTCCTTCATTCCTCCCTCCCTCTCTCCCACCGTCTCTCTGTTTTATACCTAATTTTCTCTTGACAATACACCAAGAAATATTTCCTACATCACTAAATATTCTTTTTTTTTTTTTTTTTAATTTTTTTTAAAGATTTTATTTATTTATTTGAGACAGAGAGAATGAAAGAGAGAGAGCACATGAGAGGGGGGAGGGTCAGAGGGAGAAGCAGGCTCCCTGCCGAGCAGGGAGCCCGATGCGGGACTCGATCCAGGGACTCCAGGATCATGACCTGAGCTGAAGGCAGTCGCTTAACCAACTGAGCCACCCAGGCGCCCCATCACTAAATATTCTTGACTGACCCCAGGTGGTTGAGAGCACAGACCCTGGAGCTAAGTGGTGCTTGTATTCCTCATGTGCCCTTTATTGGTCCTGTGACCTTGGGCACATTTTATAATGTGTCTGTTTTAGCCTCTACCCGACATCTCTCTTTTCTCATCTGTAAAGTGGGATAATAACAGTTAATACCTACCTCCTAGGGTTGTTTTAGGGATTGAATGGCTTAAAATGTGTAAAGTGCTTAGACTGATATTTATCACATAGTAGCCCCTCAGTTGGTAGCTGCTGTGGTTAATATTATCATCATTAGTGTTACATTATTCCACAATATTGTTATTATTGGTAGCGTAGCATTCCATAATATGGATATATACCATAATTTGTTTAAATGGTTTTCTTTGGTTAATATTTAGATGGTTTCCATTTTCCCCTCTATTTTGCAAATAATACAACAGTAAATATTTTTGTAGCTAGATTTTTTTGGGGGGGGGGGATGATCCATGATTATTTTCTAAGAAAAATTTTTAGGAGTGGCATTGCGTGGTCAAGGGCCAGGGATGTATTTTAAGTATTGATTGTATATTGCCAGATTTCCCTTCAGAATGATTGTTCTGACCCATATTCCCATGAGTGGTCTAAGAAACCTTGCCTACTTCTCATTAACATACGTATCTTTGCAATTTTTATTGAATAAAAAGTGTAACCTTACTGCTGCTTTAGTTAAATCCCTTCCCTCCAGTATTTTTATGACCCATACTTAAAAAAAAAAAGTAGAGAAGAAAAGAAATACTGAAATTCTGCAAGGAGAAGTGATAGCAATAGCGATATCGCCCTGTATACTCACCCGATTCGCAGTTCCCATAGCATAGGCAGACACGGCAGCAGCTTGAGCCCTTTGCTCTCTGTTGAAGATCAGAAGGCTGAGCTCTGCTTATGCTTGAACAACAGATTAGCATGATCTCATGGAGAGGCACTGCCCTGGTGCTAAGTGAAACCAGAAACCACTCATTTGTCAATTACATTTTCTCTCTTGGAAGTACTCAGAATTGCCCAACAATTGTTTCAGTACTCAGAGATCTGCTCTCTCTTGCGGGCTCCTCAGCCCTGACAGCATGTCAGATTCTGGGCAGGGCTTCTCTGAAAATGAACAGTGTTCCTTCGATTATTCCAGGGAAGTTTCAGGGCTGACCCTGTGATAGATAAAGTGTGAGGTGGGCATTATCTTTGACACCAACCTTCTATTAGCCTTGACTGCAACCCTCTTCTTCCTTTTGTGCCCTTTAATCATAGGTATCTAGTAGTTTTCTTACTAGGCTTCCGGCTGCAGAAGAATGATAGGTGTTATATTTTGGGGAAGATGGAACTCTCGGAGTCTGAAATTAAATACTTTTTAATTTCTTTGTTATTAAAGTAACATTGACATACAATGTTATGTTAGTTTCAGGTGTACGGCAGGGTGATTCAACAATTCTGCACATTAGTGGTCCCTGCAATGAGTGTAGTCACCATTCAAGATTATTACATTATTGACTGTACTTTCCATCTCTGTGACTTATTTATTTTATAACTGGAAGTTTGTACCTCTGAACCCCCTTCATCGATTCGCCAACTTCCCCCCACCCCTGTACGCCCTCTTCCCTGGCAACCACCAGTTTGTTCTCTGTATTTGAGAGTCTGTTCAGTTTTTTAATTTGTTTGTTTTGTTTTTATATTCCAAATATAAGTGAAATCATATGGTATTTGTCTTTCTCTATCTGACTTACTTCATTTAGCATAATACCTTTTAGGTCCATCCATATTGTCACAAATGGCAAGATAACATTCTTTTTATGGCTGAATAATATTCCATAGTATATATACTATGTCTTTTTTAAATTTTAAATTCCAGTATAGTTAACATACAGTGTTATATTAGTTTCAGGTGTATGATATAGTGATTCAGCACTCCCATACATCACCCAGTGCTCATCATGACAAGTACCCTCCTTAATCCCCATTTTACCCATCCCCTCCCACCTCCCCTCTGGTAACCATCAGTTTGTTCCCTGTAGCTGAGAGTCTGTTTCTTGGTTTGTTTCTCTCTCTCTTTTTTTTCCTTTGCTCATTTTCTTTTGTTTCTTAAATTCCACATATGAGTGAAATCATATGGTATTTGTCTTTCTCTGACTTATTTTGCTTAGCATTATATTCTCTAGCTCCATCCATGTTATTGCAAATGGCAAGATTTCATTTTTTTTTTTTGATGGCTGAGTAATATTCCGTTGTGTTTATATATACCACATCTTCTTTATCCATTCATCTGCGGATGGATGCTTAGGTTGCTTCCATATCTTGGGTATTATAAATAATGCTGCCATAAACATAGGGGTGCACATATATTTTCAAATTAGCATTTTCATTTTCTTTGGGTAAATATCCAGAAGTGGAAATGCTGGATCATAGGGTAGTTCCATTTTTAATTTGTTGAGGAACTTCCATACTGTTTTCCACAGTGATTGTACCAATTTTTATTCCCACCAACAGTGCATGAGTGTTCCCTTTTCTCCACATCTTTGCCAAGATTTGTTATTTCTTGACTCTTTGGTTCTAGCTATTCTGACAGGTTTGAGGTGGTAATCTCATTGTAGTTTTGACTTGTGTTTCCTGGATGATTAGTGATGTTGAGCATCTTTCCATGTGTTTGTTGGCCATCTGTAGGTCTTTGGAAAAATGTCTATTCAGATCATCTGCCCATTTTTAAATCAGATTATTTGTTTTTTTGGTGTTGAGTTATATAAGTTCTTTATATATTTTTAATAGTAAACCATTATTGGATATATCATGTGCAGATATTTTCTCCCTTTCACTAGGTTGCCCTTTTGTTTTGTTGAAGGTTTCTTTCGCTGTACAAAGTTTTTTTAAATTTTAGTATAGTCCCAGGAGTTTATTTTTGCTTTAGTTTCTCTTGCCTGAGGAGAAATATCCATAAATTTCTTGCTTAGGGTGATGTCCAAGAGATTATAGACTATGTTTTCTTTGAGTTTTAAGGTTTCAGGACTCACATTTAGGTCTTTAACCCATTTTGAGTTTATTTTTGTGTATGGTGTAAGAAAGTGGTCTGGTTTTATTCTTTTGCAAGTGGTTGTTCCATTTTCCCAGTATAATTTATTGAAAAGATTGTCTTATCCCCTTGTATATTCTTGCCTCCTTTGTCATAGATGAATTGACCATATATGCGTGGGTTTATTTCTAGGCTCTCTATTCTGATCTCTAGTCTGATTTGATCTATGTGTCTATTTTTGTGACAGTACCATACTGTTTTGGTTACTATAACTTTGTAGTATAGTATGAAACCTGGGATTGTGATACCTCCAGCTTTGTTCTTTTTCTTCAATATTTTTTTGGCTATTTGAGGTGTTTTGTGGTTCCATACACATTTTAGAATTACTTGTTCTTGTTCTGTGAAAAAATGCTATTGGTATTTTGATAGGGATTGCTTTCAATCTATAGATTACTTTGGGTAGTAT